TCAATACTTGGCAAGTTAAAATCAGTTGAATTTCTATAAAAAAAAAGTCTCTGTCCAAATTTGGTTAAATGCAAGAACTCATCCTGTGTGAATGGCCCCTTATGTTGCTAGCGTTTAAAGAGATACCAACCGTCTTAGCGAGTTGACAGGCATTCTCTGGAGAGTTGAGGATCTCGTAGTAAAAAACGGAAAAGTTGAGGGCAAGACCCAACCGTATAGGGTGTGTGGGTTGCATTTCTTTCTTACTTATCTCAAAAGCATCTTGGTAAGCCTTCTGAGAGTTCTCAACAGTGACAAACATTTTATCTTGTGTTGATTACATTCAAAAAATATAATTCTGTCATGACAACTCTCGGAGGGATTGGCATGGTAATGTACATGACAATGTTAATGTATTTGGTCTTGGCGGAATAGATCTTCTGCTGCTGCGGCAGAGCAAGTACCGAGACTTGCTACTGCCAATACATCCACAACATGCTGCTGTAAGCATGTAAGAAATATTGCTGCTGCAAATATAACATACATGAAATAACCCCCATAAAGCATGCATGAATCACCTCATAGCAGATCAATACAGGTGGAGCTGGGGAAGGTGAAGGGTTTCTGAAGCAAGCTGCAACTGCCATGGCAAGCACTAGTCATATATTTGAATGTTGAGCAGCGAGCTCATTGGCTACCGATACAGGAGAGAACCAATCAGCTGTGCCATGTGATAATGACGTCATTAGGTCAGATTGAGTTTGACCTATCGGACTGCACCATCTAGAATTGGATGCCAGAACTTTGTATTTATGTCAAAAATAGTCAGACAGATAGATAGTAGTGATGCACTGAAATTAACTTTTTACCGAAATCAAAAGGAAAGTTATTATTTAATCAAAAACCAAAACCGAAAAGGACATTTTCAGAATTCAATTTGGGTAACTGAACTCATTATTCTGATCAGTGTGTAAATTTCTTTGGCAACAAGCCACTTCTCAATGTTTCAGCCTAACAAATTTTACATACTGCTACTCTAGAATCATTTTTGGTCACGCTAATGTGTGTCCACTCCACACTGCTGACGTGTTTACCTGTTGAAGAGTATCCACGCCATGTTCACAAAATAGAAGCTAAAACAGTCAAAACGCACCTTTGGAGAAGTGCTAATTAAACTTTCGATCTACGATTTTGGCTCTCTAAAAGAATTACGCCAGAATTTTCTGTTTTGGCCAAATATTTCCTAAATTTAGGTGTATCACTCATAGATGGAAATACAGATAGATAGATAAATGCCAGACAGACAGACAGAGAGATAGAACAATATAATTATAGATAGAACGATAGATAAATTGACAGACATGACATAACAGACAGACAGATAGAACGACAGACAAATAGAAATAAAACACAGAATTTCCCACAGACCTACACTCTATTTATGGCGGCACTTCCCCCAATGGAGGGGGAGGGGGGGTTGTTTTTTTTGTATTGTAATACTAAAAAAAACATGCTCCAATGCAAATATTTATGCGAAGAACTTTATATACATAATTAAACATCTCCCTCACACAACATCTCTACATTTTTTTTAGCACATTTAACATTCTTTGTTTGAACATGCTATTTTACAGGGCTTTCTGAAAAATAATTTTAGGAAAATATTTTGTAATATTCATCTGGATTGAAGGAGCAGACACTGAGCAACAGAGTTAAAGAAGTTAACATTATAGTTAATATCATTTAGCCTATGTCGGGGTATCTGCAGGTTTTTTAAAATCAAATTTAAGGCTTTTAACCACCTTTTAAAAATCTGCAAAATGAATACCGTAACATTTTAAACCGTAATATGACTGTATAAAGCATGATTTACAGTTCAGATACAGGGTTTTATAGAAACAAAGTTTTATGAAATGTTCTTCACATTTTTATGTTTGCTTCTTAAAAATATGGGTCGATTGTCACAATGGTCTTAACAAAAACAGCAGACAGGCTGATTGAAAATGCAAATTCATTCTCTGCCAGTAGGTGGCACTTTTGGAAACTGCAGAAATATAGCGGTTTTCCTCAGTAACGGCAAAGCAACGCTGCACCTATAAACGCTACTTTATCAGACATTATAAGAACATGCCATCAATACTTTTCTGAAGACAGTCGGTTCCCTTCAGCGATACATTCACATTAACATGCTGTGTTTTGACTTTGTAATGTGCAGCGCTCCTATTTATTCAATGAATCATAGCCTTTTGAAGTTTAATCCAGCCATTTCACGATTCTTGCATGAGTTTTGGACAAATCTGTGCAAATCTATTTGTGGCAGTCAATGTTGATATTATGGCGGGCCGCCACAAATAAATCAATGTATGGGAAACACAAACTTCAGACAGAACAATAGATAGATAGATAGATAGATGACTGATAGATAGACAGATAGATAGAACAAAAGAAAGATAGACAAGACAGAACAACAGAAAGAATGATAGCTAGATAGCTAGCTAGATAGACACATACAATGCACTTACTGGTCTTAGATTCTCCAGACGCGACCTCAGATAAGTATCTAAAGTAATCGCCTTTCATTTTCAGGTAAAACACCTTGCTCTCTGCCTGAGAAGCATTGGGAATGAGGAACTTCTCCAAAAGACCCTGTCAAGACAGGTTGGGACCATCAGGATGGCTCATATTTGTGGTGAAACAGTGAAAAATGGAAAAACTGAAATTAAAGTGTTCTTTGTAAACTGAAAACGAAATATTTTGTATTTAAGAATGAACTTCAAGTGATGTCATCATTATAAAAGGTTCAGAAGATGAAGAGAAAGAAGTGCAGATACCAGCACATCATTGCAGATGTCCTGCAGCTCCGTCTCAATCTTTTCACGATACTCGCGTGCCATCTGTTGCTTCTTCTCGTTCCCCTCGGTCTTCTGCTCGATGCTGGAGATCACACGCCAGGAGGAGCGACGGGCGCCCACCACGTTCTTGAAAGCCACAGAGAGCAGGTTGCGCTCTTCATTGGAGAGCTCCACGCCGCCCTCGGTAACAGCCTTCATAGCGGCTGCCATGTCATCATAGCGCTCGGCCTGCTCGGCAAGCTTGGCTTTCTGCACCAGGTCACTCTTGTCCATTTTTAGACTGAGAATCAGATACGAGTAGGTATGAGCACAATAATTCACAGAAAACCACCAAATTAAATGGATTTAGAAGGTTTTGAAAAGTATTAATGCTCAATAATTGATGATGAGCAGTCGATTAACAATCTTCATTTTCATCTGATATCGATTCTTAAATCCAAGTTTGATATTTTAGTTTATGCTGTTTTCAGCTGATGCACAAAACTTGACTAAACATTATTTGTAGCGTGCCTCCCATCCAATAATTTTAATAAGCTTGTGTTGTTACTTTAGATATGAAACGGTCTCAGCTTTCAAATTTTGTAAATTTAAGCATGAAAATATTGAACATCAGAAAGTGTTGAAAGAAACAGTACAACTTACTGAAACACATCATGTCTCATGTAATCGTTAAATCTGCGTTTCAACCAGACGTATGTCAATAAAACAGCTTGTAAGCAATGTCACAAACTTGCAAAAGCCATTCAATGTCCATAAACTCAATAGTTAGCAAGAAAAATGAACTCTAGAGAAGAGCATTTTGATAAATATGTGCACGGTTCTACATATTCATTATATTTTTACTTAACCTGTTAGTGAATTCTTATTTAATGTATGTTTGAATACATCTGTCATGTACACAAGTTATGACAATCACGTTTAAATATTTATATTTTCAACAATGAATTGGACTAGAAACAACTACTATCATTAAGACATTTTTGTGCTGGAGGAAGACTATGATGAGAGCTACATCCCTTCAGAGCAAGGTTACTGTTACTCTTCATCACTAGGGCTGTCGCGATAACCGCAATATCGCGCTATTGACGAGCAAACCGCAGAGGAATGCAAGAACCGCAGCAACCGCGATTTTTGCGTGTTTTCTTTTTTCGTAAGGTTATGCCCTTCTCGTTTTACACTTCATGCATGTGGACTGAATATTAAACAAGTTAGTAACGATAACATAATGTGTACCATGCTGATTTGTACAGAGGCTCTGTAGATTTGCACTTAACAAGCCTAAACAGACAGTGAATGAGAGAGAGATCGACTGAGCGCGTGCGATTACTTGCGTCTGTCCTCCAGGCCGAGTCATATATATTTGTGAAAATCGGTTGTCATGTCCAAGGAAAGCGAAATCTCTGTCTTAGCATCGACGCATAGCTGGTCAGCTGAGCCTTCTAAAGTGGCGCTCAAAGTTAAAATTATTTCAACAGCGCGTTTCATTATGTCTCTCTTTGAATGAATGAATCAGCGTTTTTGAACATGTAGTTGAATGACAGTCCCTTTCCACCACCTTGTGGCGCAACACTGTAACTGCACTGACTGACAGCCCGTCTAGAATGCGTGCAGGTGGAAATATCAATAGAAAGTCTCTTGTCCAGTCAGATTAGAAAATCAGATTACAGCTAGGCTAACTGTTATACATATAGGCTAACGATAGACTAACAATCTTATTGTCAGGTTTATGTTGTTAAGTGGACCGTTATTTTGTCATTCTCTTCGGTTTACTTCACTTCCTGTTTCAACGCTATTTGGTTTCGGTTTCATTGTCTTCTGAATATGACCTTGTTAGTTATATCGTAACACATACACACACAAATATATATTTTTATGTATGGCAATAATACTGCATACCGCGCTATTGAGACACTCAAAATTACCGCAAGGGAAATTCCCTCACCGCGACAGCCCTATTCATCACACACACACACACACACAGAGACACACACAGAGACACAGACACAAACACAGAGACACACACACACAGACACAAGAGACACAGACACACACACGCACGCACACGCACAGATACACACGCACAGGTATGTCACACACCTCCTCCCTCTGCTGTGGCTGCGAGAGCGCCCGTATCTCCTCCCTCTGGACCGAGAGCGAGAGCGAGAGCGAGACCTGTCCGAGTCCAGAGGAGAGAGACGTGTGTCAGTGTCACAGATTGACTGACTGCTGTGACCCTCAGGCACTGACCTAACTAAACTAAACACTCACATTACAGTTTAACATTACAGCTACAGTACACAACAGGGCTGGACCATACGACAGCGCTTCAACCGCACGAGTTCAGTTCACTACTCTGATGCACACCAACCGTTCAATCCACCTTATTATAGACCGCTAAAACCATAATAAACACATTATTACTCGAAATAAAATAATAAATTAAACTTACACTTCAGTTAGGTAGGCAACATTTTGATTTTCATTTCGTTTAACGAACTAAAACTGAAATTAAAATTGATAAAACTATATATAATAGTGCTGTCAAACGATTAAATCGCATTAAAATTTAAGTTTTTGTTTACATAATATATGTGTGTTCTGTGTATATTTATTATGCATATAAATACACACATGCATGTATATATTTCAGAAAAATATGTTATGTTTATATATTAAATATATTTATGTATAATACAGAGAAAAACAGACACAGACACAGAGACAGACAGACAGACACACAGACAGACA